TTTTTCTTTTCCTTTTCTTTTTACCTTTCTCACTTTTCTGTTCAACATCCACACACTGAGTTTCTAGACAGGTGTAGGTGCACAGTAGTCAAATATCTGACCTGTATGTATGCACTACGTATATTTTAGTATGTGTGTATATATTATATATAAGTATGTGTGTATATATAGTCTACATGGCTCTTACTATGTGTGTGTATATATATGTACCTAGTACATATACACATATATGTAAATTGTGCATGCATCAACCTGTAGTTGTTGAAAAAGTCCAGTACGTGTGACCTGTGTTGGAGGAGAACACAGAGGAGAGTTTCTGTTGGGTCTTTTCTCTTTTCTGTGTGCAGGCAGAAGACAGGTGCCAGGCTGACGCCAACCAGGAGACCCAAGGAGCGTGCTCAGAGGTCAAGCAGGTATGAGGGAAATAATCTTCTGGAAATAAAAGTGAAGAGAGGAAAGCTGACCTGGACACAGCTGGGAATGCATAGGAGCTGGTCAATGGAACAGCACTGAACGCCACGACTCCCAGAGCCTGAAGTGAGAGGCAGAAGGCCCGACGCAAGGGAACACAGAGCTGGAGACAAGAGCCAGGTGCAGAATGCGGCCGGCAGGAGCCACAGCCAGGGGCCCGCACTCCCAGTAGCGCTGCCCGGAAGAGCAACACTGGCCACTGTGGGTATCTACACTTAAATGCCTTTTAGTTTAAATACAACGAAGCACTCAGTGTCCCAATCTCCCAAGAGCTCCACAGCCATGTGAGTGGAGTGGCACGGTGGCCATGCTATGAGAACTGGCCCATCCGCTCCACAAGTTCCAGGCACCGCAGCTCTGGGCCATGAGGACCGAGGGAAGAAAGGGTTGTTCTTCTGGAGAAGGAAAAGCACAAAAGCAACAAGGCCATGCTGGAGGGTCTAATCTCCAAGGGTGCTCCTGTCTGTGACTCTGGGGCTTGTCCCCAGTGAGCCCGGGGTCCATGTCTGGGCAAGAGGTCCTCCTGCCTGCCTGAGCAGCCTACATAGGACAAGGACACAGTGTGTCATTCAAATGACACAAATCCCGGAAATGAAACGCAAACAATAAACACACCAAGACCGACCAGGCTCGCTAGGCATGCGCATCAAGACAGAACACGGCTTGCCCGTGAGCTATGCTAATATAAAGACGCTTGAGAGCAGCGAGTCTTGATGACTGGAAAGTCATCTTTGTGTGCTTCCGGCAGAAAACAAAGTGTAAGTTTCTGGAGAAAAATGGGTGATGTTGATCAAAACAAAGGCAGCCCCTGCCTGATGGCCCACGCCACCACTCACAGGACGCCAGCTTAGGGGAGTGTCAGCAAGAACGCGGGGCCACGTGGGCTACAGCGTGACAGTCAAAGAGCAGAACTGGCAGAGGGGAGAAGCAGTGCGCTTACCCACGGAGGCCTCACCCCACCAGGCACTTGGCACTCATGAGACACCCGTCATACCCTGTCAAGTGAAAATCCCACCAGCAGAACTAATGAACACTGTGATTCTGCTTATATGAAGACCCAAGAAAAGAAGGTTGACAAGCATGAAAAAAATACTGAAAGCACAACACAAACTCCTTGCTAAAGGAGTAAGTTTTCACTGGGATCAAAAGGAAAGCATTCCCATAGGTCAGGACAACTCTCAGCTCTCACGCACAGTAAATCTCCATCTGCAGCCCCCTGCCCAGCCAGGGGACCTGAGGCAGGACTGAACCTCAGCCCCAGCCCCAGCCCCAGCCCCAGCTCCAGCTCCCAACCTCAGAGCCTCCTTCCCGTCTTCGTTTTGCTAATTCTTTACTTCTCTTTTCCCCATAGGTCAGGCCAGCTCTCAGACACATGGTCCATCTCCATCTGCAGGCCCCTGTTGACTTTCTTTTGTCCTCTTTCATTTTCTTTTTTCCTTCCCACTTACACTGTCATTTTCTGCTCATCCTTCATACCCCAGAAGGACTAGATCAGTCTAGAATTATAGTTTTCACACATCGTAGCATCAGGAGGCTCTCAGGAATCCTTGCTCAACACTGAACCACCAGCAAAAAAGAAGAAACTGCTCTTCAGCAACCTGAATAGAAAACTCCTCCCGTGGGAACCACATTGCTAACAACAGCAGAAGAGAGCTTTGGAACAGAACTAATTCACAGCAAAAGGGAAGCAAACTAGTTCCCAGTTACAGAAACATTCTCCGAAGAGTTATCCAAAAGCGAATACATCACCAAATGACAAAGTCACAGAAGAGCCTAAAGTATGAAAAAACTAGGAATTACGTCTCCATTAAAAGAGCACAATAACTCTCCTCCATCTCTTGAAAAAACAGAAGTTACCAAAATGTCAGAGAAAGAATTCAGAACATTCATGGTGACAAAACTCCATGAGTTGGTACAGAAAAGAGACAACAAACTCCAGGAGATGAGGAAGTCCTTCCATGATTTGAAAGAAATGGACATTATAAGAAAGAATCAAATAGACCTCTTATAAATGAAGACTGTAATACAGGAAATCAAAACCTTTCTCTAAAGTGTTAAAAGCTGATTAGACCATGTTGAAGACCGAGTCACAGACATAGAAGACAACACCTCTAACCTAGAAAAGAAAACACCAAAAAGAAAAAATAACAAACAAACAAAAAAAGTGAGGATAATACACGAGAAATAATAGATTCCATTAAACATCCAAACATCCAAATAATTGGTATCCCAGAAGGTGAAGAAACTACCAAGGGCATTGAAAAGTTATTCCATGAAGTCCTGGAAGAAAACTTTCCAAGTCTAGAGAAGCACTCAAACATCCAGACCCAAGAAATACAAAGGACCCCAAATAGAATCAACCCAAGAAGAGCCTCTCCACAGCACATCATAACCAGACTGGCCAAAACCACAGATAAAGACAAGATACTAAAATTGGCAAGAGAGAAATGTTAGTCATTTACAAAAGTTATCCCATCAGCCTAACACTGGACCTTTCAACAGAAACAAAGCAAGCAAGGAAAGAATGGGAAGATATATTGATAGTGTTAAGAGAGAAATAATTTCAACCAAGATTATTATATCTGACAAAATTATCCTTCATATGGGAAAAAAAGATAAAAATCTTCTCAAGACAAACAAATCCTGAAAGGATTTGCCAACACCAGAGCAACTCTTCAAGAAACTCTGAAGAGAGTGCTGAACAAGGAAAACTAGAGAAGGGACAGACAGAAATAAAAGAATAAAAAATAACCAAGAATATGGCCAACTTAATGGTAGAGACAAGTCCAGAAATAGCAAAAATAACATTGTATGTTAATGGACTAAATTATCCAATCAAAAAGTTGGCCGAAAGGAAAAAAAAAAAAAAAAAAAAAAACCTAGAAATCCGCTAACTGTGGCCTACAAGAAATGCAAAATGCAGCTCATTGGATAAAGACATACATGGATTAAAAGTGAAGTGCTGGAGAAAGAAATTTCATGCAAATGAAAATCAAAAAATAGCTGAAGTCACAATACTAATTTCAGACAAAATAGGCTTAAAAAACTATAAGAGCAAAGAACAGCCTTAAATAATAATAGAAAGGCTAATTCATCAAGAAGATGTAACACTTATAAATATCTATGCATCCAACTCAGGAGCACCCAAATACAAGAAAGAAAGACTATTGGATCTAAAAAGAGAGATAGACTGCAGCACACTAATTGTTGGGGATCTCAACACCCCATTATCTCCTCTGGACCCATTACCTAGACAAAAATATAAGCAAAGAAATATAGAAGCTTAATGATACCATAAATCAAATGGATTTAACAGAAATCTATAGAACTTTCCAACCAAAAAGACAAAACATACTTTTTTCTCACTCCCCCATGGAACCTTTTTGAAGATTGATCACATGATAGGGCACAAAACAAGCCTTTACAGATTCAGAATTATAGAAATTATATCCAGCATCTTCTCCAACCATGATGGAATTAAACTAGATATTAATTTCAGAGAAACACCTCAGATATACACAAATACATGGAAACTAAACAACCTAGTGCTGAATGACTTCACAACTACCAAAGAAATTAAGAGTGAAATCAAAAGATTCATGAAAACCAATAATAACGAGGACATGAGTTTCCATCATGGGATACAGTGAAAGCAATCATAAGAGGGAAGTTCATAGCAATTGGTGTGCATAAGGGAAAGATGCAAAGGTGCCAAGTGGACAGTCTAACATAATGCCTCAGAGAACTGGAAAAGCAACAATGACAAAAAAAAATCCAAAAAACACCAGGAGAAAAGAAATAATAAAGATTCAAGCAGAAATACATGAAATAGAAAATAAACAAACTATGCAGAAAATAAGTGAAAGTAAAAGCTGGTTCTTTGAAAAGTTGAACAAAATCAGCATACCACTAGCTAGACTAATTAAGAAGGGAGAAAGGAACCACATACATCAAATTCACAATGAAGCAGACAATATTACAACAGGCATAATAAAAATATAAAACATCATCAGAGGATACTATAGATGACTATACGCCAACAAACAAGAAAACCTAGATGAGATGGACAAATTCCTGGACACATATAATCTACCAAGATTGAGTCAGGAAAACATAGAAAGCCTGAATAGTCCCATAACAAGCAATGAGTTTGAATTAGTAATAAATAACCTCCCAACAAAGAAATCCATGATCCTGATGGCTTTACCTCTCAATTCTACAAAACTTTTAAAAAAGAGTTAACCCCGGGAACCAGCAGTTAGCGTAATGGCTATGTCGCTGGACTCCCACGTAGTCGACCGCGGTTCGTGTCCCGGACCCGGTGGCTTAAAACTCACGCCGGGCGCGTGTGCGTGCATGCCCAAGATCCCGAGAGGAGAATGGAGGAGAAGGGATTTCAGCGTGACCATCCCCCCTGGGGGGTGATTTCTCGCTTTCTGTCTCTATGTCTCTCTCTGTCTGTCTGGCGAGTGCACGCGCCCTACAGTGAAAATCTCTCCAAAAAAAAAATAAGTTAACCTCCATTCTATTTAAGTTATTTCTAAAGATTCAAAAGGAAGGAATACTCCCAAATTCATTCTATGAAGCCTCCATCAACCTTATCCTTAAAACATCAAGGACATGGGACCAGCAGTTAGTGTAATGGCTATGTCACTGAACTCCCATGTAGCCGATCACAGTTCAAGTCCCGGACCTGGTGGCTTAAACTCACGCCAGGCACGTGTACGTGCATGCCCAAGATCCCAAGAGGAGAATGGAGGAGAAGGGATTGCAGTGTGGCCATCTCCCCTGGGGAGTGATTTCTCGCTTTCTATCTCTCTGTCTCTCTCTGTCTTTCTGGCAAGCACACACACCCTATAGCAAAACCTCTCAAAAAAAAAAAAAACATAGTAAAACATCAAGGACATGAAAAGGAAGGGAAACTATAGACCAATACATATGATGAATATAGATGCAAAAATTCTCAAGATACTGGCAAATCGTATCCAACAACATATTTAAAAAGATTATACATCATGACCAGGTAGGCTTTATTCCAGGAATGCAAGGATGGTTCAACATTCACAAAACCATAAACGTAATACACCATATTAACAGAAAGAAAGATAAAAACCATATGAGCATATCAATTGATGCAGAAAAAGCATTTGATAAAATACAACATCTCTTCATGATAAAGACTCTCAGCAAAATTAGAATAGAAGGGTCATTCCTCAACACAATAAAAGCTATCTAGGAAAAACCCATAGCTGACACCATTCTAAATGGGGAAAAGCTGGGACAAGACAAGGATGCCCACTTTCTCCACTCCTTTTTAATATAGTACTGGAAGACCTCACCAATGCAATCAGAAAAGAGAATAAAATAAAAGGCTTTCGAATATGAAAAGAAAAGGTGAAATTACTTCTATTTGCAGATTACATGATTGTATACGTAAAAGGCCCAACAGTATCCACGAAAAAATTCCTGGAAGCAATAAATGAATACAGTAAAGTTGCAGGATATGAAATCAACAAAGAAAAATCTAAAGCATTTTTACATAGGAACAGCAAACAGACTGAGATAGAACTGAAGAAAATAACTCCATTTACCATAGCCACAAAAAATATAAGATACCTAGGAATAAATCTAACCAAAAAAGTCAAAGCCTCCACAAGGAAGACTATGAAAATCTAAAAAGAAACCAAAAATGACACAAAAACATGGAAGGACAGCCATGTTCCCAGATTGGAAGAATTAGTATAATCAAAATGGCAATTCTACCCAAATATTTAATGCAATTCCAATCAAAGTACCAGAGACATTCTTCACAGATCCAGAAAAGACAATCATAGAATTTGTCTGGAATCATAAAAGACCTCATACTGCCTAAGCAATCCTGCACAAGAAGAGTGAAGTGGGCGGCACCTCACTCCCTGAGCCCAAAATATATTACAAAACTGGGAATCAAAACAGCATGGCTTTGGTTATTTGTACATCTTCCTTAGAAAGCTGTCTGTTCAACTCATTTTCCCATTTTTAAATTGGTTTGATCATAGAGATTGAATGTATAAAATAAAATAAAATAAAATAAAATAAAATATATTATAAAACCAAAAACAAAATAGCATGGTACCAGCACAAAAACAGACATGTGGACCAATGGGACAGAACAGAGATCCCACAAATAAACCTAAAAACACACAGCCAACTGATTTTTGAAAACAACACTAGTCTGGGAACCAGCAGTTAGCGTAATGGCTGTGTCGCTGGACTCCCATGTAGTCGACCGCGGTTCGCGTCTCGGACCCGGTGGCTTAAATCTCACGCCAGGCGCATGTGCGTGCGTGCCCAAGATCCCGAGAGGAGAATGAAGGAGAAGGGATTGCGGCGTGACCATCCTCCCTGGGGGGTGATTTCTCGCTTTCTCTCTCTGTCTCTCTTTGTCTGTCTGGCGAGCGCACGCGCCCTATAGCGAAAACCTCTCCAACACAAAAAAAAAAAAACACTTGTCAACCCAGTTGGAAAAGAAAAACCTCTTTAATAAATGGTGCTGAAAAAACTGGGTAGCCACCAGCAGAAAGATGAATCTGGACCCCTATCTGTCACCGCTAATAAAAATCAACTCAAGGTGGGTCAAAGATCTAAATGTAGACTTCAAACTGGAAAAACTACTGGCTGAAAACACTGGGGAAACTCAGGAAGACACTAGAGTAGTCAAAGACTTTTCAAATAAGACCCCCAAGGCACAGGCAACAATCCCCAAAATGGGCAAGTGGACCATGGCTTCTAGGGGGCCCAGGGAGCTGGGAATCCTGATGTCCCACAGAGTCCCAGAGTGTCTCCTAATTGGCCACTGGAGGCCCCAAGTCCCAGCCCTGCCAGCTGCAGACTTCCCAACAGAGTGACCCCGAGTGCAGGGGCCCCAGGGTACTGCCAGATGATGGGGACAGGCCAGGAGGGACAGGTGCGTGAGCCATCCCCTCCCCTCTGCCACCACAGATGCAGGAGCTTCCTGCAGCCAGACCTGGACACCGGTGACTGTCACTGGGACCTCGGGTACTGCTGTCTGCCCCTCCCATCCTCTCTGCAGTGCTCGGGAGCCAGTGCTGAGCTGGGGAGGGGCAGGTGGTCCTCGGGGCCTCCTCATGCCCTCAGCACTCACCAAGGTTAGGACTTCAGGGGCCCTGGGAGGAGAGGTCCTGGCCTGAAGTGAGTCCTGACCCTCACCTGGTTAAGGTAAGTTCATGGTGCCCACCTGGCGGGGCTGCCAGGAGTAGAGGGGACCCTTAGAGTGAAGAAGCAGCTGGCTGGGGGATCCAGGAAATGCTGGGGCTCGCTCTCAGCAGGGGAGGAGGTGACCACTCTTGAACTGTCTGCTCGGCCTGGGCTCCAGACCCTGAGAGCCCTGACCCTGAAACTACCTGGGAGCAAACCCTCTCCTGTGCGTCTTGATCGGAGGCTCTGATTCTGCAGCAAGTGGGGCTCAAGCTCCTGCATTTCTGAACGGGCATTTGGGGAGCTACCAGCTTAGGACCATGATCCACAGGAGGGGTGGGACCAAAGGGGAGGACAAGGACATGGTGTCCATAGTCAGGGCTCCAGCTCTGCACCAACCCAGCCATCCTCAACCCCACGCAAGGACTGCTCAGTCAACTGCAGCCCAGGACACCCTGACCTCTCAGCACCCTGAGAGATCCATGCTTGCCCTTCCCCAAAGTGAACCAAAGACCCTGCTTGGGGCACGGCCATCCTGGCGCACCAGCTTCTCTGAAGGCTACCTCTGCAGTCAGCTCTTAGCATGCCAAGGCACATCAGGAGGACTCAGCAGCAACGGACCCTGCCCCTCCCCTCAAACAGAGGGTTTTGCACGTGAAAACTGTCATCTAGCTTGGTGGCCGATGGGCAGGCGGGTATGTCACTGCTCAACTGGCCTGGCCGGGCAGTGGGGACGGCACGGGCCCCGCACCAGGGCTCCCTAGAGTCCTGCCGTTAGGATGCAGAGCAGACCCTCTGCCCTCAGACCCTGCAGGCTCCTGCAGCCCAGCAGTGTCCCAAGCCCTCCTGGCAGGCATAGAGTAGAGGAGTAGAGTTCACCTGGCAGGCAGCCCCATGTCGTCTGGTCTGTGACAAAGATCTATGTCCAGCAGGGCCAGTTTCCAAATAGAAAAAGAACCCTGTTCAAAGTGCCCAAAGTGCTCCCTGGAAGGGAGCAAGGAATTGAGTGGCAGTGAGGACAATGGACAGGGCCAGAGTGCCCACTCCCAGGTGTCACAGCCCTGTCCTGTGCTCACCAGCGCTAGGCCTGGGTGGTCCCCACTGTCCCCCTCAGTCGGCCCAACATCTGGACACTGGCAGGAACCTCTGCCACCATCATGGATGCAGAGAGCCCTGCTCAGAAAGCTACCTGCTCCATTGCTGAGTCAGCGACACCCCGACGCTCTCCGTGTCCTGCAGGGGAGACAGACACCTGCCTCAGGGGAGGCTGGTCCTGTTCCATGTCCAACCTGGCCCACAACTGAGTGGTCACCTGGCCTGGGCCTTGGGAGCAGGGGCCTTCCGTGAGCACCCCTAGGAGTCGGGGAGCCAAGGCCTGGAGGGTGCGGGACTAGGTGCAAGCAGGTACAGGGATGGAGAATGCAGGGGTGTCCCTTGGGAAGGGGACAGTGAGCATCTCAGGAGGAGGGGCAGGGAGGCTGTGACGCTGGCCTCACTGAGGGCTGCTCAGTTCAGGAACCCTCTCCGAACCCCACCCTAGCCCCTTTGCAGCAACTACACGGAAAGGGCATGTAAACACAATGCATGTTTACAAATTAAATAACAGAAGGAAACGTTGCCCTCACAGGACATTGTGAGCTCCACTGGAAGGAGACCCAGGCGTTGACCTCTCTCGGGCAGTGTGCAGCGGCATTGGTGGGTCCCTGCTCCAGGGGACGTATGACCATGTGACCAGGGCCTGCTCCCTCCTGAGGCTCCAGCCTCCTCTCCACCTTGTGTCCGGCCCAGGCCATGCTGACCCGCAGCAATGGCAACCTCTCGGCGGTCTCCCTGAGCGAGTTCGTGCTGGAGGGATTTGCAGGGGGCCCAGGGACACAGGCCCTGCTCTTCGCTGTGTTCCTGGCCCTGTACGTGGTCACCGTCCTGGGCAACCTCACCATGATCCTGGTCATCACCCTGGATGCCCGCCTGCACTCCCCAATGTACTTCTTCCTCAAGAACCTCTCCTTCCTGGACCTCTGCTACTCCTCCGTCATCGCCCCCAACGCCCTGGCCAACTTCTTCTCCTCGTCCAGGGCCATCACCTTCGCGGGCTGCGCCACTCAGCTCTTCTTCTTCTCCCTGTTGGCTTCCAGCGAGTCTTTCCTTCTGGCCGTGATGGCCTACGACCGCTTCATGGCCATCTGCAGCCCCCTGCAGTACCCAGTGACCATGTGCCCCGCGAGCTGCACCCGCCTGGTGCTGGGCACCTACTGTGGAGGCTGCCTCAACTCCATCGTGCAGACCAGCCTCACGTTCCAGCTCCCCTTCTGCAGCTCCCACCGCATTGACCACTTCTTCTGCGACGTGCCCCCCCTGCTGCAGCTGGCCTGCGCCGACACGACCCTCAACGAGCTGGTCATGTTCGGCCTCTGCGGGCTCATCATCGTGGGCACCACGCTCGTGGTCCTGGTCTCCTACGGCTACATCGCAGTGACCATCCTGAGCATGCGCTCCGGCACCGGGCGCCACAAGGTCTTCTCCACCTGTGGCTCCCACATGACGGCCGTGTCCCTGTTCTACGGGACGGTGTTCGTCATGTACGCCCAGCCAGGGGCTGTGGAATCCTTGGAGCAGGGCAAGGTGGTCTCCGTCTTCTACACCCTGGTCATCCCGATGCTTAACCCCCTCATCTACAGTCTGCGGAACAAGGACGTGAAGGATGCCCTGAGGAGGCTGAGCCAGAGACAGACAGCCTAGTGAGGGAGTGGCCGGCGGGAGACCCGGCGTCCTGGGCTGCAGGGGCGAGCTCCAAGGGAGACACTGGGCAGTGAGGAGCCCCACCCTTCTCTACTTGCAGGGGAATCAGATGCCCTGGGGCTCATCCAGCTGTGCACGCAGCCCTCCCCCGCTCATGTCATGGGCCGGGTTTGCTCAGTGCAAGCTGCACCGGCTAGTGAGGTGTTTCTGCCTCCTGGACTAAAACTTCAGAGAAGGAACCCTGGCCCCAACTCAGTGAAAAACCAAGTCAAAGCATGGTGCGTCTTCCTCCTCCTTCTTACCGTAGCTCTCTGGCCATGCCATGGTGTTTAGTAGGAGGGGGCTCAGATGTTTGTGCAGGAGCTTTTAGTTGTATTTATTCTTATTCATGGTAGCTGGTGTGCACGTGAGAGAGGGGGGGGAGGGGGAGAGAAAGAGATGGGGAGAGAGAGGGAGAAAAAAGGGGAGAGAGAGAGGGAGAGAAAAAGAGAGAGAGAAAGGGAGAGAGGGAGAGAAAAAGGGAGAGAGAGAGGGAGAGAAAAAGGGAGAGAAAGAGAGGGAGAGAGGGCGAGAGAGAAGAGAGGAAAAGAGAGAGGGAGAGAGGGAGAGAGGGAGAGAAGGAGAGAGAGAGGGAGAGAGGGAGAGAGGGAGAGAGATGTACCCTCAATAGCGTCTCTTCACACGTGACCCTTTCCCCATCTCCAGGGTCAACTTGTGTGTGTGCGTGTCCCGGGTGCGTTTTCAGGCTGACCCCGTGATCCAAACACAACCCTGTGTGACCTCCGACCAGGCCCACTGAGCTGGGCCCCCTCGTGCACCTTAGTTAAACTTGTCAGGAAATAAAATGTGCCTCTGGGCAGGGGCCTGCCAAGTCCTGGTGGCCTCTTGTGAGCCCTGAGTGGAGGCCCTCCTGCCTCCACTTTGCCTCATTTCTGCTCACCTCTCACACCTTCACCAGAGATCTTTTTAAAACAGCTAAGTCCATGGCCAGGGCCTTCCACAGGGTGAATAGGCGTCAGCGTGAATGGCCACAGCTGTGTCACCAGATCTGCCAAACAGATACCTCTTAAAGGAGCAGGATCCAAGGCGAACGTGTTAGATCCACTCAGGGCAGAAGCTCCTTGGGCTCCTGCTCCATCCACCATGGACTGGACAACCTTGTCCTGACGGGATGGCTCAGAGTGCCAGACAGGAACCCCCCCGGACTCAGGATGGAAGACGTGAGTAAGCCTTTCCCTTCTATATAATCTATATGCGAATATAAACATTTCCATATCTAAGAAAAGTACCCAGCCTCACTCACAGCTCGGGGAGTTCACCGCCGTCCAAGTCGGGCTGGCAGAGACGAGGTGGACTGCAGTGTGAGAACCCTCTCGCTCTCTTTCGGAAAGCTAGAAATATGTAAACATGTTTTCCAAAGAATAAAGAAGTCCTGTGAAACTAGAATGAGGAGCAGCAATGTGCCTGCATCGATGCAGCCCTTCCACACTCATGAGCACACTGGTGTGGACACGGGGTGAGCCTGGACAGAGGCTTGGACATTTCTGGCCCTCAGGCCCACTCGGTCTTCTCCACAGTCCCTCTGCCCACCACAGTTTCTCTGTCCCAGTCTCCCACAGGGTGTTCAGTAGACTTTCTGGCAGGGACTTCTAGCAGTGCCTCGGCCTTGGGCTGGGGGTGGGGGGTTAGGGGCTAGCCCATAGCGAGGCTTACAAGGCCTGCCCAGAGAGATCGGGTCATCACAGCACGCTGAACAATGCTGGTCCCTCTTCTGCCATGGGGGTCAGTGTTTTTCCAGTAAAATCTCTGTGGCTTCCTCGCATTCATTCCTAGCTTGCTAAGTCTTACCATGAATGAATGCTGAATTTTAGCAAATACTCTTCTCCCCTGTGGCAGCCGACAGTTAGGACTCGAGTCAGCCTCTGGGTGCCGGAACGTGTGGAAGGCTGTCCTGTGTCTTTCCCGCCAGCACTGAATTGCCCTGTGTCTCAGAGCACACCTTTTCCACGTTTGATTGAGAAAAGCGGGCCTCGAGTTTGAACTTGGGATGAAGAACGACTGCGTGCCTTAGATCCAGAGTTCTTAGACCAAGCAAGTGCTCCTGATAAAGGGTGATGAAAGTAAAAACAAAACAAAACAAAAAACCCACTATGCCAAGCACCACATGTAATGCTGAAATGGTAAAAGCCAACCCTTTGAAATCATGAAGACGATTATGCCCCATCAATACTCCTGAGTTTTAGTAAGATACCAAATGTCCTAATTTACATTCCCACCAACAGTGTAGGAGATTTCCCGTTACACCACAGCCTCACCAATACTTATCACTTTCTGGGGTTTTTTTTGTTTTTTTAATCTTATCCATTCTGATTGGGGTTAGGTAATAACTCATCGTGGTTTTGATTTGCATCTCCTTTGTGATGAGGGATGTTGAGCATTTTTTTGGATGTTCGTATGTCTTCCTTAGAGAGTTGTTTGTTCAGTTTATTTTCACATCTTTTAATTGAGCTAATCATTTTTGGAAGGGTAAGATGTTTGAATTCCCTGTGTATTCTGGTTATCAGTTCCTTATCTGAGCTGTAGTTTACAAAAATAATCTCCCATTCTAAGGGTTGTTGATTCACACTAATTACTCTGTCTTTTGCTGGGCAGAAACTTCTTAATCTGATGTAATCCCACTGATCTACTTTGGGGATTATGGCCTGTGTTTTGGGGGGTCCTATTTAAGAAGTCTTTGACTACTCAGTGTCTTCCAGAGTTTTCCCATTGTTTTCCACCAGTACTTTTATAGTTTGAGGTCTTAGGTTTAGATCTTTGATCCACTTTGAGTTGATTTTAGTTAGTGGTGACAGATAGGGGTCCAGATTCATCTTTCTGCAGGTGGATACCCAATGTTCCCAGAACCATTTGCTAAAGAGGTTTTCTCTTTTCCTACTGGATTGACTGGTGCCTTTTTTCAAAAATCAGTTGGCTGTGTGTTTTGAGGTTTATTTCTGGGATCTCTGCTCCGTTCCATTGGTCCACATGTCTGCCAATATCATGTTGTTTTGATTATCACAGTTTTGTAATATATTTTGGGATCAGGGAGTGAGATACCTCCTAGTCCACTCTTCTTATGCAGGATGGTTTTGGCAACATGGGGTCTTTTGTGATTCCAAACAAATTCTATGATTGTCTTTTCTAGATCTATGAATAATGTCTCTGGTACTTTGGGATTGCATTAAATACATAGATTAATTTGGGTAGAATTGCCATTTTGATTATATTAATTCTTCCAATCCAGGAACATGGGTTGTCCTTCCCCATTTTTCTGTCATTTTTTTAAAATATATTTTCATAGGTTTCCTTGACTTCTTTGGCTAGATTTACTCCTAGGTATCTTATACTTTTTGTGGTTACGGTAAATAAGATTACTACAGCCCCTGTGGAGAACAATACGGAGGTTCCTCAAAGACCTACAGATAGAACTACCATGTGATTCAGTAATTCCACTCCTGAGTCTCTACCCAAAAGACAAGAAAACTCTTAGTTGGAAAAGTGCTTCCACATCCATGTTTATTGCAGCGTTATTCACACTTGCTAAGACATAGAGCCAACCCAAATGTCCATGAACGGATGAATGGATTGAAAAAGTGTGGCACTACTCAGTCATTTAAAAAAAAAAACAGACCCTGCGGCCAGGAGTTAGTGTAATGGCTATGTCGCTGAACTCCCATGTAGCCGACTATGGTTCAAGTCCCAGACCCAGTGGCTTAAACTCATGCTGGGCGCATGTGTATGCATGCCCAAGATCCTGAGAGGAGAATGGAGGAGAAGGGACTGCGGCATGGCCATCCCCCGGGGGGTGATTTCTTGCTTTCTATCTCTCTGTCTCTTTCTGGCGAGCACATGCGCCCTATAACAAAAATCTCTCAAAAAAGAAAAAAAATCAGACCCTGGCATTTGATAGAAAGTGGACAAATATCGGGGAACCAGCAGTTAGCGCAATGGCTATGTCACTGGACTCCCACGTAGTCGACCGCGGTTCGCGTCCCAGACCCAGTGGCTTAAAACTCACACCGGGCGCGTGTGCGTGTGTGCCCAAGATCCTGAGAGGAGAATGGAGGAGAAGGGATTGTGGCGTGACCATCCCCCCCTGGGGGGTGATTTCTCACTTTCTGTCTCTATGTCTCTGTCTGTCTGGCGAGCGCACACGCCCTATAGTGAAAATCTCTTCCCCCCCCAAAAAAAAAGAAAGAAAAAAAAAGAAAGTGGACAAATATGGAAGATTTACTGCTGAGTGAAGCTAACCAGGCTATAAAAGAGAGACATTGTATGTCTCCACTTAATATAGACCAGCTGTCAGGACTCTGGCAGAAATGGAAAGATTGGAGTATACAGAAGCATGGAAAATGGTTACAGATACTGGAGACAGGTGGGAAGATGGTGAGAGATGGGGGAGAGTGAGAGGGAAGGGATCAAGGAGAAAAATAGAGAGACAAGACACTTAAGGGACATAGAAATGGAGGATTGTCTGTTGATGATAGTGTGTATGGTATCTTCAACTGCACTGGTATGAAGTGTATTCAAGTTGGCTAAGTTCACTTTATAAGCTGTGGTGATACATAGTGATTGAATGTATAAAATAAATAAAAATAATAAGAAAGGAATTACACAGGTTCGTATAAATGTTATCAGATACATGTAAAGCCCAAAACAAGTCTTACCTGGAACAAGATAATGTCCCCACGCTTTAAATTAAATGGACATTTAGGGCTTGAAAGAATATGCAGAAAGGAGAGTTAGAGGTGTCCAGGAAGAGAAAGAGAATGCACAACAGGAGCAGAGTCACAGCTACTCATATTGTCAATGTAACAATAACCAGACACAGTTCTCCCCTACTGCACAACAGCAAAGAATGGTTTTTCAATGTACACTGGACTTTGCTTCATGAATTCCAGCGTGTGGGACTCCGGTGGACATTAGAGCCAAGCAGATGGTCAGGTTCTGCTGCTGGGATG